CCCCCCAATTTCCACACATCCTAAGAAAAGTTATGGGCAATCAGTTTGTGATGGTATCTAAGATGAACTCACATGATTTCCTGTTATTAAAATCTAACTATCTGAAGCAAAATTGAAGAGCAAAACACATAGTAAAAAAATCTAGGCTTTTAAAAGTACACACTCAATTGTAATCACGAACTCGAGAACAATGGACCACACAATAATGAATCACAATTTAACCCAAAACCTGTAATAATATACAGATCCACAAGAATATTTAAACAATTTCGGTTACAAATTCTACATCGAAAAATAAACAAAAAATACCGTAACAGAAAATAAGAAAGAGCATGACAATTCTTTATTTTTTGAATTGCACCGACTTACTATGTAGAGAAGATGATGAAGAAGGGGAATTGAGCCTCCTGAAAGATTTCGTGAGTTGGGGAGGGGGAGTTGAGCCCTTCTGAAACATATCGTGCCCTGTGAAAAAATGAGGGAGAAAAAGAGAAGGAATTTTGCCCGCTTAGTTCTGAAATTTTTGAGGATGATGTCCAATATTGTCTTTTAAATATTTCTTTTCTCTTTTATTTATTTCTTTTTTATCTATTTAAATATAATAAAATTTAGGCATTAAAGCTAACTTATTACTAATAAAATATACTTAAACATTATTGACATATATACTACACACAAAAAAATAACACATCCAAACAAATAATAAATTAAAATATAGAAAAAAATCACAAAATATCATTAAATTAAATCATTTAATTAAAATTATAAATATCCTTTATTAAATGTAAGAAAAATTTAAAATTACTACTATTATTTATTTAAATTCAAAACGTCTAATATTATGAATATGAGACATATATTTTATAATTTTCTTTTAATTTTATACTTATGGATTAGTGTGTATGTAGGTTGACGTAAGACATTATTAAGCCATCTGAAGCTACCTCTCATTTGATCCTCAACATGTGCTACGTGCAACTTTTAGTGAATGTAATCATTTTTATCTAGTCTAATCTTGTTTGACCGTCGTGCATCTTAATATTCGCATCTCTCCAACATTCATTTTGGGGATATATTGGGTTTTAGTGACTTAACACTCACTACCATACAATATTATCGATCTTATAACTATTACTTACCTTTCACTTTGATAGATATTCTTCTATCACATAATATGTAGCACTTCTCCATCATAACAATCTGATTTTAATTATATGAGTAACATTTTATCTATTATTTCATTCTCTTGAACAATGAACCTATATATCGATATTAAATTGTTAGCATTTTAGCACCGCAATCTCGTCTAGTTTCACCTCAACTTCGCTCTTCACATGCTGATTAAAGTTGTAGTGCGTATATTCGCTCTTATTTATATTTATCCTAAAATATTTGCTCTCTAAGATGTTTCTCCATAATTCAAACTTTTGATTGACATCCTAAATTGTGGGGTTATTAAACACCACAAATTGTATTGAATTATAGCATTTTAAAAATCCCCACAATTTGATGCAATTTGCAGAGGTTATAAAAAACCTCTACAATAAAATCGCCACAAAAAGAAATATATAGCGGGGGTTAAAATAAATGCCATAAAATGATCTTATAGTGGGGGTTCTTATAACTCCCACAAATAAACCTACGCAATTTAGCTTATTTCTTGTAGTGATATAAAGTTGTTAATAATTTTTTTATAATCGATTTTCTCTAATAGTTCATGTTCCATTGATAATATAACCAACTCATTTAATCTTTCTTGAGATATTATTGATCTTAGATAAGATCTTATAGAGTAATAGAAGTATAGAACTATTGGAAACTTAAAAATATTGTTGAACACTTGAACTAATGAAATCTTTGAGAAAGAAGGTGAGTAAGAATATCAAAGAAAAAGACTGAAAATATGTAGGTGTCACGATCCAATTTCACCTATAGGTCGTGATGATGCCCAGCACTATAGCTAGGCAAGCCAACTAATAAATTAAACATGTATAAAAAAAATTTAAATCCAAGAAAAATAATAAGACACCAAATTCTACCATTGTGTGTGCAAGATCTGGTGTTACAAGTATATGAGCATCTAGTAGATTATACAAAATCACTAATACTGTCTGAAATAAAAATAGATAGAATGAAAAATACAAGGAGAGACAGTGGTAGCTGCAGAACGGCTCAGAAAGGCAGCTCACCACTATGCCCCTGGATAATGTGGGTGTAAGACGATAGGTCCCCCACTAGTACTTGCCTCAGGTCCTACACAAAAAGTGTAGGAAGTGTAGTATGAGTACGTAAACAACGTGTACCCAGTAAGTATCAAGCCTAATCTCGAAGTGGTATAGACGAGATGGCCGACTTTGACACTCACTATGGGTCAATAATAATAATTGAAATAAAACTAGAATATCTAGATCTACATAATTCACAGAATATATCAATAGTTTAATTAACCAGCAGAAATAATTAAATTTCTTTCAATTTCAATAAATTTCTAAATTTATCAATTAGTCTCATTTACAGGAATAACAATAATTCCTTAACAAGTAGGAATAATAATTCATTAAATTTCAAAGATTTTCAATTCATCAATTAGTTTCACAAGCTGCAATAAACTATCAAAGTATCATGTAATAATTATTATTAAGTACGATTTCTACCGAGGTCGTACGGCCCGATCCAGAGTTTCGTGTACATTGCTGAGGGACGTGCGGCACGATCCATAGATGCATCTATCCTGCCGAGGCGTTCGGCCCGCTTCACAAGAAAGGAGTACATTTTCTTATGTACCTCCGGAATGAGAGTATATTTATTATAAGATAAATTAACGAGGAAGAACAATTTCTCTTAACAATTAATTAATTTAAACAGAAAATCAAGTATATGAGAT